GCCCCCCGTCGCCCTGGTCTGCTGGAGACCAGCAGTTCAGGGAGACGGAGAGCAAAGCCTCTGAGGACGCCAGCAGTGGGACAGCCGCGGGGCGTCTGGGCTGTCCCGCTGCCGGCTTCCCCAAGGCTTTGCAAAGCTGCCCGAGCCCCTCTGCGGCTTTGCTCCACGTCTTCCTGGTCTGCAGACCAGGGAGACGCGGAGAAAGCCCCAGAGTACACGGGCGGCAGGACCGCGAGGTCCCGCAGTCCGTGTCCTCTGGGGCGAGCCCCGTTCGTAACTGCGGATCTGACATAAGTCAGATCCGCGTAAGTCGGGGACTGCCTGTACAATTTTTTTATAGTTCAGTAAAACAAACAATAGAAAAATCCAAATTTTTTCTCAGGCTATAAATACATTTACATTAATAATTATTTCATAACCTATTGAACAAATAATTAAACATGTTAATATAGTAGTTAAATAATTATCATAGCATGCCCACATCACAGAAATAATAAGTTCTCTGAACTATAATCAAAATTCTCAAACTCCAGCTTGGTATATAGAATCCTGCATGAATATAAAATGTGTACCTACATCCGTTCTGCAAACTTGATCCACAGACAAACTGGATATCTGCAGATATGCAGGGCTCTACCTATAGGAGAGCCTGTTCATGCTCTCAGTGAAGTAAACTGCAATTTCACTAGATAAAATATTAAAATGTAAGAGGTGTCTACCCCCTTCAATGCACGGCCATGAAACTCTTAACAAAATTATATTACCTTTAACCAAAACTTTCACAAATTCTTCCGCATATTTCAGATATGGATGCATCATAATGCATGCTGAAAATAAAATAAAATAAAATGATCAAGATTTTAGCTACTACCTACAATAAGGTTAATGCCAAAAACTTCTTTTGAAACAAAAGTGAAGAAATCATAAAAACAATTAAAATGCCCAACACTGCTACTAACACTGGCTACCTCAGGAGAGAGAACGAGAGAGAGGCCCACGATTGGAATTAGAGACTGCTGTATTCTCTCTCTCCTTTCAAATAGCCCTTCCAGGACAGAGGGGAAGTGAGTACTGAAATACAGCAAGGAAGATATGAGAGAGACAGAGAACACTGCAACCCTCAACAACAACAAAACTGCAGCTACTCTTATTAAAATGTGGCATGTCTTTTGGAGAATTTTTCATCTGCCCAGATGTTGTTTTCCATTCATCTCTGTACTAACAGCTTGGCATTCAAATAGATCTTGCTGCCCTCTAGTGGCTAGTGAAGATATATAATCTATAAAAATTTATTCACTAAGACTCATGAAAAGTTAAAAAAAACACCCACCTTTGATTTGTCATTCAGATTGGAGAATTCATATTTTTCTCTTGATTCTATTTAAAAATAAACTGTGCACAGTTGGAGACTATATCAACAGGATTCAGGAAGCCTGAAGCCTTTTCTAAAAAAAAAAAGGAGTGCTTCAGGCATTACAACAAAAATACAGAGAATGACTACCCTCAGATAGCTGTTGCATGGATAAATGAAAGGATTACATGAATATACTTGCATTTACCACATCATCTGGAAAACAAAGTTTAAACAAGCCAGGAAAAAATTGAAGAGTCCAAAGAAAAAATGTTTGTGTAAAGACTTCTTGTGCTGGTAATTAAATTTAGTATGCCAGCCTATAAATCACGATTCCTCGTGAAATACCCACAGCCGAAAGTGTCATAGGGTGACAAAACATTATGTCTAAAAGAAAGGAGAGACAGAATAATGTTGGGCTAAGTTACAGTGTTAACTACAAAATATCAGTAAAGTTGGACTTGAAAATCTGATGAGAAACTAACCAAAAATCCTTAGGAAAAACAGGAAATCACTTAACACTGTGATATTTACTGCTGTAAACAGAAAAGAGCTATGAAGTGGGCAAAATAATTCATTTAAAATGAACACTGATGGTGCAATATTTTCAATTACATTTTACAGCATCCAGAACACTCGTCATTACTACATTACAGAAGAAACTAATCAGCTTTTTCACCAGATGATAAATAGTACAGGTTGCACCTCCCAAATCCAGGATTCTCTCATCCAGCAACCTCCATAGTCCAGCATGAGCATGTATGTTCTGGGATGAGAGCGCCCCAAGATAGAAGAGCCAGCAGCTGGGAACCCTGTGCACCCCTACAAGTCTGCTAGCAGTGGGGCTGCAAGAGCACGATCAGGACCGTCTGCTGCCCAACAGCAGGGCTGGAACCACAGCAGCCCAAGAGGGAAGCCTGGACAAACCACGTCAGCCTGGGAGGTGGCAGCATGACTGAGCCTGCCAGGGGTCGGACCTGCAGCCGCAGCAGCCCAAGAGGAAAAGTCAGCCATGGCAGCCCAGCAGAATCAGCGCAGCCATGTGTGCCTAGCAGCATGAGTGGAGCTGCAGCAGCCCAGTTAAGCAACCTGCCATTCGGCAGTGGAGCTGGAGCTACCCAGCTGTCTGGCAGCGGACCAAGGACTAGGGTTGGCCTGCAGACAGCCAAGCTGGGCTGAAGGAGCTGGCAGTGGGGAGAGGCAGTAGGCTGAGGGGGCTGGTGTCAGGAGACCTCCCATTGTCTGGAAAATTCCTTAATCCAGGATGGGTCTGGTCCTGAGGATGCTGGAAGAGAGAGGTCCAATGTGTATATTCCAAATCTTTTGAAACAAAAAAGATATAGAAAAATAAAGGCTTTAAACATGATATTTTTACTAGCAACAATAATATTCAGATACTTATATGGTGTTAATCACCAGTATCTGCATACCTTGTGCAAGTTAAAATGAAGCTTATGTAAAATATTGAAGGTCAAATCCTAATCCTGAAATGGCCATTGAGTGCAATGGTATAACGGTATCACCTGAAATGTGCAGACAACTTAAGTGAGTTCATGCTCCCATAAGAGGACACCCCAGTCAAACTGTATGTTAAAATTTTTTTCCACAGTTTAAAAAAAGCCAGAAGATTATAAATATATCCCAAATAACAAAATCCAATTAAAGGAATCTTGAACTACACAGGATATTGACATAAAAATCAGTTTTCTGTAAACTAAAAAGCCTGCTACGTAATCATCAAACTGCAACAAGAATGCTCACGTCTACTACTGGAAAGTGTCTCGATGGCTGGCAAGTTAGAAAGTAGCAAGGCCTAGCTACATAATCATTACACTCTATAATCACTTCCCAGATCATTTGCCCCATTCTGTCAAGATCACATGACCCACTCTGATTAGCTGATCCAACCCAAAGGCTAAGACACTAGGGGAGAGCATTAGGTCTCCATGAGCCAGTTAGCGGAAAACTGGGGAAGAGGATATTCACTGGATGTAAGTAAATGACTCAGCAGTGATAAAAGATTTACAATTGTATACATGTGTGTATACAATTGGTGAGGAAGCATGCCTAACAACTGGTGCCTTCATTCTGGCTTTATACATACAGTACTTTGTCAGATTTTAGATCTCTTCTGATTATAGACTTTTCACTTCTTGCAGCATTCGATGGAAGTGCAGTTCTGAAGGTCAGAGAATTGCTGATTTGGTCTAAGAACCTTACTGAGGAAGTAAGGCATGAACAAGACTACATCTTCGTAGGTCTTACTACACTATTCCAGCTGGACGACATATGGCGCCAATGCTATGAAATTACAGTAATGCCAAAAAGGCCCTGCTGAGAACAATCAAAGATTTCATTAGTAGTATACTGTCTCCTTAAGAGTAGGATTTCTGCTCTGGATAAAGAAACCTAAAAAAGAACGTTTACCCCTTCTTTTCTACAAGTTTACACACTTCTGCATGTTGCTGTTCAGCTGTACCAAGGCAGCATCATGTTAATGAAGTTGGGAGACAGAAAACTGTGAGGCCAACTCATATAGCAAGCTGTTGTCATATTTCAGCCATACGCAGTAAATAGCCTCTTTGCAGAACAGATTTGTTATTTTCCCTAATCTTGGTATTTCCAATCACCAGACTCCTGGAATAAGTCTTTCTTTCCCTGGCCAATATCCTCTGCATCAACTGAGTCAGGTTCTCGCTGCATTGCAAAGGCAGGGCTAGGCCAGCCAGCAAACCCTGTTCCTTTATATATTTGGCATAAAAGACTCCTTAAAATAATTATGAGTACACTAATTCCAATAAGAACTAACTCAAATACTGTAATCACATTTTGGGACATAGAGCCTTTGAAATGTGCAAGGAACAATGCAATTTAGAGTATGAAACATATGAACTTGTATAGGGGACAGAGAAGGACAACAAAAGCCAGCAGGCATACTGGAACTATAACAGCACCATCCAAAAGAGGAACAAAATACAGGACTATGTAGCACTTTAAAGACTAACAAGATGGTGGGTCTGGCCCACGAAAGCTCATCATCTAATAAACCATCTTGTTAGTCTTTAAAGTGCTACATAGTCCTGTATTTTGTTTCAGCTACACCAGACTAACACGGCTACATTTCTATCACTATCCAAAAGAGGTTCATTAGTCAATCCCACATCATACATGCGATAAAATCTAATATTAAATCTACTAAATTATATCAAAACGAAATAAAAATATTTTTCTTTATTATATTTTCCTCCTTATATTTGCTGTATTGTATGTTATGTTGCCCTAGCAGGTGGAATTGTAATGTATGTATTTAAGATCAGAGATCAGATTTCTGTGAGAACTTTGACTCTGAATGTCTTCTGTTGAGACTAAAATTTTACTAATTTAATCTTATACTAATACAGGGATTTTTTTCCTTATGTAAAATCCAGATTTATGAATTTTACTGACAAACAACCAGAAATAGTTTATTACCCTGGGAGAAGCCCTGAAAAAGTGCTCCTATAGAAAAGGAAATGTGTCACTCGCACAACAGGAACTGAAGAAATGAAACTCCAGTAATGAGAAAGCTTGAATAATTCAGAGACCTCAGAAATGCCAGCAGCAGCTAATAAAAGCATCATCACATCATCAGGCACTAAATAAAGAAAGTCATCATTCAGCAAGAAAGGTAGCCACTAACCATGTGAAAAATACCATTCTTACCAACTAATCTAGAAATACAATACACTGTGTACAAAAACACTGAACAAATTAAGTGAACCAAAGGCTGGAGATAAACAACAGACTATTTGTTTAACATTTATCAAATATTTATGAGGAGGATGCTGAAGATAAGAAGTTTATGAACCAGAGCAAAGACTGAGCTGTAGTTTTAAAAAAATCTCCTGGCTATCTCTGAATTCACATTTCCCCGTTTATTTTGGGGGGAGGATATTATTCTTAGTGTTCTTATAATACAAAACTAAAGAGCTGAGAGAAAATTGAACTTTTAGAAGTAGATTTACAAACCTGTGATAAAAGCAATATGGTAAATAATAGGGATGCTAAACTGCCTTTCTTTGTAAACATGTAACCACTGAATTTACACACTGGAGGGGGAAAAGAAGGAAGCAGCTCTGCAGGAGCCTGTGCGTGTGGGGAGCCACCTTAAAGTCTGATCCCTGAAACCACTGACTGACACCAGCGCCTCCCCGCACCACGTACTGCTGATAAAGAGGCAGCAACATGACGGGGGGAGAGGAGGAAAGGAGGGACCAAGTGGCTCTTTATTAGGTTTGACAGATGTCCGATTTTGAACTGGACAGTCCAGTATTTGAGCTTTCTGTTCGGGAAACAAACTGAGGAAATATAAATGTCCATTATTTTCTAAATAAGTTGTAATGTAGATTGTGATGTAATGTCAAGTGTGTCTGGTATTTTTGTTGAAACCATCTGGCAACCCTACTCTTTATAGAGCCAGTATGCATGTCGAGCCAG